ATTTCGCTTTCATTTCAAAGTAATTCTAATGTTATTTATATAACTATCGATACGTTTGACTAATTTATACTATATATTGTAATTTGTTTTATATTTTAGCATAGTTTTGTGTTAATCCTGAAATAAAAGTAGTTTTAAAAACTGCACAATTAGTCAAACGTTTGGTTAATTTAAGATATCATACAATGAAAAGCGCCAATCATTTAAAGACAAGTGCTCTCTAATAGATATATTGGTATAAAATAAACACTTAAACCACTTCTGCCGTAGTATTCAAAACATTTTAATCAAATTTTTAAATATTTATAGTATTTATAATTATTTATAATAATTGCGTTTTTGTAATCGACTTAACGTCAAATAAAACTCAACCAAATGTTTTACGTTTTGCCATTTTTTTGTAAATTATATTCATATGTAATCCTAAAGTTTATTATTATTTACTTAATTATAAGATTAGTTTAATTTCATATGATTTATGATTTGCTGTTCTGACCCGTCGGCGGACTTTGTTTGAGCTGTAAAAGTATTGATCGCATTCTTGTCGTGTCTTTCGTATTTCGGGTCGACTTCGGGTTGAAGTCACACATCCGCGCGATTTTCTCCCACTCCTGACCCGCAACCTCCGTATCCCTCTCGGCTACCCATTCCTTCTCAGCATTTCTACAACAAACACACAATTAGTTACCAATGTCTACCAAAACGTGTCATAAATAGCAACAAAAACACATTCAACTCATTCTCAATGCATTCTCTAATGATTAAACACTACAACAATCTAAAGGGTGACACAAATGGTATAGTATATGTCTTACTTGCAGGCCTCCCTGTGCCGCACACATTGAAAGAGATATAAATAGTAGGCATTTATTACAGTATATACATTGTATTCATGTATTCATAATTTGTTATCACTTTTAAACAATAACTCAATAATAACTTTGTGTTTGTCTTATGAATCAATTTGAATAAAAGTCTGGTCAATAGAAATCAATACAATTATACCTATTATTAAGTTTAGACTTTTCCAACTGTTCCGCGTATCTCGCATACCATTCCTCGAGTTCATGTTTGGCGGTCTGCTTGAGTTCCTCTTTGCGTTTGCTCTCATCCCTGTCCTTCTCCTCGAGGAGTCTGTTCTGGTCTTCTCTCCATTTCCTGATCTTCTCGGGCTCTTCCTTAGGCTCCTCTCGAGTCTCTTCACGGAAAG